GACGCTGAATTTTTTCTGGCGAAATCAGTGAATGCTCCGGAGTCACCGCACCAATGTGCAAATTCCACGAATTCTTGTAATTTTCCTCGTGGCTATGCTTCGTCTGAACGAATGCCAATCGTCGCATGATAGTCGATAACATCTGATTCCATGCTCGATTTTTCTATTATTTAGACAGGTTTTTGAAAAGTTAGAAGCTAGCTGGCACTCTTCTTTGAGATATAGTAATCCCTTTGATCACTCTTTTTCTCAAATTCCCTGCACCGACCGGGTGCTAGTATTTCGCTTTTGTTCTCATGTTTAGTTGAAATCTGCTCTACCCCTCTTAATTGCTTTACTTGTTACCAGAAAACCTTTGAAGAAACTGCGAGCCTTGAAGGAATTGTCGAGAGCCGTCTGCCTACCGCGCGACCTCGTTTCAGCTTGTGTAGTCCTTTGCCAGGACTTGGAAAACGAACATTTCTAAGAATAAATGTAACAGTGGACAAACATTTTGCAAAGCAAAGGTACACATAAACCTTTCTCACGATATTTGAAGCAAAATATAAGTTGTAAGCAATTTTTTCGCCACGTTCTATAGCTAGACCTTGGCATTTGTCGCACACTATGTGCGAGGAAGCCCCGCCCGGCCAGCTGTTCATTCGCTTTGGTATCTGCCGGTGAAAGGCCGTGGTGTTCCGTCAATAAATAGTAAGCCGTAGTCTTGCTGATACATTCTTGGTGCATCGCAAGCTCGAATTATACGAGCCGCCCGCCTTCTGGTTTTGCTACCCGCCAAATCAGGAGCCTAGGCAAGTAGTCAGGTAGAAATCTGCCCGCTACGCTTTCAACTCAGCAGAATACTGAGAGCACCAAACGAAGTCAACTCCTGCTAAGGAACAGACGATGATCATGTCGCTCTTCTTCAAAAAGTCGAGAGTACGACGAGCGAACGTCACGCTTAAAGCCCAGCTTGACATATTCAAAGGGTTTGCCAGCGAGGTAATATACCCGCAACACGTTGACGAAAAGCGCACATTTTGCTCGAAAACAGTGGCGGTCCCTTGAAAATGCCATCTCGTTGATAGAAGCATCCAGGAAGGAGCTACTCTCCGTCATCGAAGGGATTGAGCAGGAATTTATTGATATCACCGGGAATTTTCGGAGGAGCTCGCCGGGTTCGAGTCTGAAATCCCTTACGATGCCACTCTGACAGAAGCCAACGCACTGCTATCTGCGTTGAAGACACGTTTTGTGGAAGTGAAACATGAACTCGTTTTGCTCTTGAAAGGCACATCGATGGATTACGAACCGAAGCAACTTCAATCACGGCATCTGCATGAGGAAGAAAATGCTGAAAAAGGTAGACAGGAAATGCCAGATGTCGACGACGCAGCCCTCACGTGTCAAAAACACTGCTGAGCGCAGAATATCGCGTGCAACAACAAGGCACGAAACATCAGAACCAGATGTGCTGGTCAATGAACGCTACTCTTCAGTGGTAAAAACTGAGGAAGTACAGAAAGCACTTAAACCACCTTCGGTGAGCATCCCCAGGTTCAGTGGAAAGGTAGAAGAGTTCCAGGAGTTTTGGGCCGTTTTTGAGACGATGGTCCATAAAAATCAATCTCTAACAGACATGGAAAAGATGATATTACTAAAAGCAAGCCTGGTAGGAAAGGCGTCCATAACCATAAAAGGTATCAAAATGGTGCCTCAGAACTACACCTGGATGATTGAAACGATACTGAAAAAATACGGAAATGTCACAACGGCTCGTGCCAATGTCATTCAGCGTTTATCCCACATACAGCCTGCGACAGAGACCACATGTGAATACGTTTTCGATGAACTCCGATCTCTCATCAACGAAATGGTTTCATCAGGCTACAGAGTCACAGACACCAGGGACCCAATGTGGATTGAAGCAATTTTGCAAAAGCTTCCTCACAACATTGTAGGAGAGTTTCTAAGGGAAAACAAAGGCGGTGAATCATACACAGTGGGGGAAACTCTCGATCGGCTCGAAACCGTGATTATGAGCCACCAATACATAGCGCGCCGTCTTGGGTTGCGGAACAGTGATCGAAGACAGTCCTCTAGCTCACA